CAGCATTGTCAATCGTCTTCCCCGACTCCAAAGTCTGAAATTCACACAAGTTAGGGAAGAATTTAGTAACACATTTCAAATCTCTTGTAATCTTGCTGATAGACAGCAATTTACAATCCAGTTTAGGCACATACAAAACTGAGTCAAGTGTAATATTTGGTGAAATGATAATTGATCCTTTACCCATGACCTTAGAATGTGTACCATCAGCTATTTGAACATTATAGTTATATGGACATGGAGAATAACTATTAAACAAAGTGAAATCTCCAGTCATGTGATCTGAAGCCCCTGAGTCAACAATCCATGATTTTATTTTTTCCTTACTAGTGTTTAGAGCATGTAAGTAATTACCTCTTTGAGCCACTACGGCAGTACCACCATTTTCTGCAGTTAACATGGTTTGCTGAAAGAGTTTTTGAAGAGCCTCCATTTGATCTTTGCTAAAAAGAGATGAGTTAGAGTATACCTCAGCTTCTTGATTGTTAAATGTTGTGTTACCTCTGCCCTCCTTGCCTTTGAACAATTTGGTCTCTGAAGGTTTTCCATGTATGATCCAACATGTTTCCTTTGTGTGGCCTGGTCACTTGCAGTGATCACACCAGGGGCAGGTTTTCTTTTGTGGTGGCCGAGACTGATTCCCTTTTGCTGCCATTGCAGAGCTCTCGCTGTACGGAACTGAGTTGGGTGTTCTCAACATGATTTTCCTCCTGCTTTCTTTCCTTCTCACTTCTGAAAAGGCTTCTCGAATTTTGAGAAGTGGTTTGGTTCCAAGGATCCTTCCACGAACTTCATCTAGGTCCTTGTTTAGCCCCAATAGGAATTTGTAAATCCTATCTTTTTCCACCAGTTCCTTATACTTCTTTTGATCTTCTGTACAACACCATGTAACCTCTTCATATATGTCGAGTTGCTGCCAGTGTTTGTTAAGTATATTAAAATACTCAGTAACAGAAGATTCTCCCTGTCGAAGGTCATGAAGAATGCTTTTAATCTCAAATACGACAGATGTATTGTCAACATTTGAGTATGTTTCCTTCACTGCATCCCATATCTCTTTTGCAGTGTCATAGAACATGAAATTTTCACCAATTTCATTTGTCATGGTATTGAGCAGCCATGACATTACTTGGCTGTTCTCAAGTTTCCATTTCTGAAAGTTTGTCTCCTTTTTCGGGACATTTAGAACCTCATGTGGTGTAGCCTTCCCTTCCTTTTCCTTCGAGGAAGATCTTGACTGACCTTATCCATTGGGTATAGTTTTGGTCATTTAATTTATGGCCTGTGATGAGGTGAGTGAGCCTTTCGTGTGAACTGGTCGGAAATGATCCAGTCTCCACTTTGAGCGATTCATCAAATTTGGGATCCTCTATAGTTTGGCGGCGCTAGGTTAGGGATGGTTCAGATCGTGCTCTGATACCATGTAGAAATATATTTTATATTTCCTTGTATTTTATGAGAATTACATATACTGTATTTATAGAACACATAAGGCAGGATTTGGAAGAAAAATCTGACCTAAGAATCAGGGGAATTAATTTCCCATGAATGCTAATTCTAATTACAGAAAGGACTAGGAAATAATAGCTAGTTAATTACATTAATCATAATCTTAAATGAGTTGTACAAACAGAATCATTTGATTCTGTTATGATTATTCCACATTTTGTCTGCATAGCTCCTTTCCAATTGGCATCTGCAAGAGCCTGTTTGACAGTTTTGGGTTCAGTATGGGTAAGTAACAACTTAGGTTGCAACCTTCGTTGAGCAAAGCCAGATTTAGCTCTAGTTTTCATAGAGTGATGATTAATAGGCTTGTGAGAAATAGGTACAGCGTTGGGAGGAACAGAATCTGAGGACTCTGAGGCTGCATCAGATGAAGAAGTTGATGCAAGAGGTTGTGAAGAAGCACTCATAGAAGTGTGCTCAGAGGAAGAAGATGGTGAAGTAGGTTCTGTAGTAGTGTTACTGGAAGCACCTGGCTGATTTGACAAACCAGGAGACTCAGATGGTGTGGAGGAGCTAAGGGACACAACATTAGGTGCAAGAGAGAAGGGAACAGCTGTATTAGGCACAGGTTTTGGCAAGTCAGATGTAGGCAATAGAGACTGCAGGTCAGAAGGTGAATGAGACTTTGTAGAAGTTGGGACAATATGGCTAGCAGGCTTGGAAAAAAATTCCGAGTATGGAAATCTGAATTCATTGAAGAGTAATCTTTAGAGATGTACATCCTGCCACAAGGAGATAGGCACCTGTAACCCTTGTGAGAAGTAGAATAACCCAAGAACAAGCACTCTTGAGACCTAAACTCTAATTTGTGGGCATGATAGGGTCTTAACAATGGAAAACAAGCACAGCCAAAAACTTTCAGGAACTTATAATCAGGCATAGTGAAACAGCAGAAAATAGGGAACCTGAGATTTGATGGAAGTGGAGGGAAGTCTATTGATGAGATAGACGGCCGTGGAAAAGGCATAGTCCCAGTAGGATAGAGGTAAGGCGGCATGGCTTAAGAGAGTGAGCTCCAAGTCCACAATGTGCCTATGTTTCCTCTCCACAACACCATTTTGGTGATGTGTGTGAGGACATATGACTTTGTGCAGTATTCCCAAGTCAGTGAGGAACTTGCTGAATGGTCTGAACTGCCAACCCCAATCTGATTACACAGCCTTAATTTTATGCCCAAGTTGCAGTTCAACTAGAGCTTTGAACTGTTTAAATGTGTTTAGAGCTTCAGCTTTGGACTTAAGTAAATAAATCCAAGTAAACTTGGAGAAGGCATCAACAAAAGACATGTAATAATTAAACCCTTGAGTGGAGGGTTGAGGAGAAGGGCCCCAAAGATCACAATAGACAAGTTCAAGAGGATAATTGTAAGTGGTGTGTGAAGATGGTGAATGCAATCTATGAGCTTTACCAACACAACAAGTTGAACAGAAATATTCATGAACTTTATTATTGAATGGAATGTTACAGCTTTGCAACACTAGTTTTAGAGTGTGAATATTGGGATGGCCTAGTCTTAAATACATTGGACAAAGCAGGGGAAATACTAGTTGCATTAACATGATTATTTGTTGAAAATGCAGACTTGGCAGACTTGGAAACATCAAACAGAGGAAACTCGTAGAGGCCATCTGAGCCAACTTTACCAGCCAGAAGGATAACATTAGACACCTGAGATTTCACAAGGCAAGAATCAGCTGTGAAAAGAAAATAAACATGATTGTCACGACAAAACTGACTGACACTGATTAGATTCTTAGTGATGGATGGAACATGTAAGAGATTTTTAAGTGTGAGAGGTGTGGGAGGGTGATAAGAAGAGTAAAACTAATTGGAACCAGCAGAATTTATGGCTAGACCTTGCCCATTGCCTATGTAGATTTGTTCATGACCCTCAAATGGTGTGATTTGCTTAAGATTGTTAGCATCATTTGTAACACAAAATGAAGCACCGGAGTCTGGATACCAGGAAGCAGCTGAGGTTGAAGGTGCAGTGTTGGCAATGAAGGTGCTGGGAGGAGCAAAAGGAACTGCAGGCCTGACTTGGGGAGCTGCTGGTCTTGTCCACACATTGACTGGAAACTGACCATAAGATGCTTGAGAACCAGACCAAGGAGCTGCAGAATAAGGATTACCATTGTAAGAGTGAGGCTGAAATTGCTGATTAAACCTATGCCAGCAGTTGAGTGCTGAGTGTCCAACTTTAAAGCACACTTGGCATTGGATATTAGAGTTCCTGCCACCTCTGTCTTTACCTCCACGACCCCCTCTATGTGTTCTTCCACCTCTGAAACTGGAGTAATCAGGTTCGGTGGGATTTGTGGGAGTGGAATCAGTACTGCCAGATTGAGCAGTATCAGGTGCAAGAGATTGAGGGGAAACATGTGTGAGATTGAGAGAAACAAGGTCTGGTACAGGCTGCTTCTTGAACTTGTTTAAACGCAATTCATGTGCAATTAGGAGAATCCCAACTTCATCTAGCTCCATTTCCCCAAACTTACTTTCAACAACTGAGACCACAGGAGCATATTCAGCAGGGAGACCTTTAAGAATCACATCAATGTGATGAGAATTAGGTACAGGATCTCCAATTGAGGCTAATGAATCCACAATCGTACGAGTTTTCAGCAGATAATCAGAAATAGAGTTTGTGTCAAGAGTTAGGGCACGTAACTCAACACGAAGTTGACGAGGACGAGCGCGCGTTTGCTTTTGAAAATAGCTGAACAAATGATCTCATAGTTGATGCGAGTGAGAGCAACCAAGAACTCGCGATAGAATTTCGCTCGAGAGTGTAGATTGAAGCCACGACAGAAGAAGCTGGTCTTTTTCTGAAGCCAAACAGAGTATGCAGGATTGATGTACCTTTGCGACGATCTTCATCGCTCAGAAATTGCGAAGGGATTCGCGGACAGACAACAAGATTTGTGAGATTGTGTGGGTTGATGTAGGGTTCCACTTGCTGACGCCAGACGTGAAAATTCTTCTCGTCAAGCTTGTGCGCGATCTTGAGAGAGAAGTGAAGGCGGCGCGATTCATCATTCGCAACCGCGACCGGCATCGCCAGAGAAGATACAGAAGCGGAAGGCGTTACCGGTGGAGAAGCCATGGATCGACCTTAACAAACTGATACCATGACAGAAATCAATAACAGAACTTTCATTTTCAATTATAACTGAATTTGGATTTATGAAAAGTTTGTTACAAAGAGAGATCACAGTTTGCTTATATAGGTGCAAACTGTGTGACCTGTAATAGCAGGTCTACATTAGGTAAGCTGACAGCTGTCGATTATAACAAAGGCTTACAAAGAGAATTATTCTACACAATGAGTGTTACTCTAATAATCAAGTTAATTTAAGTTTTCAAAAATTTGAGCCCACTTTTTGTCATAGAACATAGTTACCCATATTTATCACAATCATTAATACCGGCCTAGAAAACAAAGGTTTGAGTGTGAAAGACCATAATAAATTATAAGATGAAAAGGTTACTTTTCCATTCCATAATAGCAAATTGCAGTCCATTCCCTCTTTCAGCCACTTTATTTTGTTCCCAACTTCTGATTCATCCAGACGAGTCTCCTCGTATGTACTCTGATAATACAAAATTAACATAAAGTAAAAAATAAAGGGTATGGTCTGAAAGCAAAAGAATTGCTGGAATAGAGAATTTGAACCTAATAGACTAACTTTTCATCATAATCAAGGAATGATCGGAAGTAATTATAATCATTGTTAAGATTAATATAAGATATCTACAGTTAGATTATATAATTAAGGAGTCCAGTTTCCGGATGATACCAAGTCCATGAAGACAAACTGAACACCATCTTTATATGTGAACTGTTTTGTTTCCTTGAATATATCTGCTTCGTCAATCTGCCAGGAGGAAATAGAACAGACAAGATAAAAACAGAAAAGATAAGTCCCATTAGGAAGATAGGAGCAGCAGATCGATAGAGATAGGACTCTTATAACAAATACTTCGCATTCATGTGTCATACCATCACTAAGGACTCTTGCCACATAAATGAGTTAGATTACCTTAGCAATTCACGAGAAAACCTCAAATATTTTTTGCAGGAAGGGTTGAGTTATTACACAACAGCAATTTTTTATGCTCTATAATGCGCCGATACTTGATTTTTCATCCTATATCGTACTCCAGATGCTCTGATACGCTAACAGGTGTCGGCCCAGTATTGGAGATCCTTAAAAAAACTAAAATGTTCTTGATACGACATTGACATGCTTTTGACATGCCACCCATACATTTGACTCTTCTTCTTCATGGTTTCACATTTTAGGTACATAATTTCTGTTGAAACTCCCACTCATTTATACAAATGCAATTTATATCACATATTCACTCATTCAGCTCCTAATTCCCGCTTTCCCAATTACATATTAATTGCCACAGATGCAATTTATATCACCGCTTCACTTTCTTCACCCATTTTCAAACTCTCATCACTTTTATTATTTTATGTATGTATTCTAAATGTATTGCATTGGATATTTATAAGTATTGTATCCTATATTTTACAAGGAACGGTGCTTCGCTGTATTGGATATGTATATTATCTGATTATCATGTTGTGTCCTTGCCATGGTTGTCGGGATCTAGCTCTAACTCCCAAAATCTTACGCTCTGGCAACCGGCCACCGATTTAATTGGCACAAAGATCTTGGATTTGGCTGGACCGGTGAACTCCTAGAGAAAGATCTTTAAATCGTGGGATCTTGAGATCCCAACGATACATTTTTTGTTTTTACCCGCTTTAGACCCGTTTCGACCAGGTCATTAAACAATTGGAATCAGCCCATAAACTGACCCATAATTAACCCTGACTGTTGTGCACACATATTTTAGGGTTTTGGGACTTGCATTGTTTTAAATGACTTTCTATTATGTTTTTTTGGATAAAATATTTGCTATTGATGATTAAATTAATGAGAATTTTACGTTAAAGTAGTTTTCCTAGTTATTTCTATAATTTTGTCTATTTGTTGGGATCTTACTATCCGTGTTACGATCCTACGATTTACGCTTTTTCTATACCCTAACGATTTTTATCGAGATCCCGATTTTGACAACCATGGTCCTTGCATTATAGTTTAGGCACAAATTATAAGACAAACAGCAGAAGACCTTCCACACTAAGTTGCACGGTACTTATATAACAAATTACAGAAAGATTAACTCACCAACATAGCTCAATTAGGCCCGACAATCTGTTTCCATTCTACCTCTACAAATTGGAGACTTTTGCCCATGAAGGTAGGGAGGACACAAGTTTTAAACAATCATATAAACAGATTCTGAATTAATTCCAAAGATCTCCTGAGTGAATATGAGCATGTAAAATTCTTATTCGTGAATATGGAGAAAACCGCGCCACTACCAAGCTTAATCTATATAGCTGATAAAAGACTCCAATATGCAAAAAGCATGTTATGCAATTTCTGCCGCATTAAAAAGAGGGTTTCCAGTATTGAGACAAAAGACTGAAGCAGAACACAAGTTGAACATGCAACGGACAAAGAAATCCAAAATTTTGGCTTTCCGATTAGCCTCAGTGGAAAGTATTATAATTGGCTTTACCTTCAGTTCAATGTGATTTTAGCAAAAATAGAGGTGTTTGGATATCTAAGTTAAAATAATTTTGCATCCAGCCCTTGGTTTGACTAGAAGTAATAAAAAATAGCTTCTACATTGAGTTGAAAAGTTAAGTGTTTCACATTAAACTAGATTTCAGAGTGAAAAAAGCCAAACCTAAACCATTTCACTTCAAACTCAATAGTAACTAAATCAATATTATGACAGCCCGAGACTAAGGCAACAAAAGATAATCAGTTCAAAGACTAAAGAAATTTAATCAGTTTTATATTGATTTTAAGAAGAGGTGTAGAAGAAGAAGAGAGAAACAAATAACTAAATACACATAATTAAAGACATAGAGATCAGAGAAGAACACGCCAGATTTTATCCTAGTTCGACCTAAAACCACGAGGCCTGCGACTAGTCCCTAACGATACCAAACTAGTAGAAAATATATATTTCCTAACAAAATAGCACATCGGTTAAGTATGTGACCGATAAGAAAACAAAATATGGTGGCATTTTTTAAATTTAGAACAAAATTCCATCCTAACATTAGGCGCACCAGCAAAAAAACTTCTATTAGTTGTTATAGCAGAATTTTAATAAATCATGATTTCCCACAATCTGCAATTGATAACGCAGCTTACTCAAACACACACTCAATCAAGTTTCTTCATCCTTAGAAGAAAAAAAAAATAAAGGCAACTGTAACTACAACAAGTTTATCTCCCTCTACACTCAACCCCAAAAAGAATCTAACCAACATTAAACACCAAAGGGAAATTCGAGACATAATCCAAGCAAATTCCAAGTAAAATAGTGAATTCATATTCATTTTTCTACTGAATCCACTAACCAATGCAACGCTGTTTGGTTGCTCTCGAGTAGAATTGATTATGCTTTCTAGAATTGATTCTACTTGAAGCTAAGATTAATAGCTTTTGAGTCTAAACGTGATTTTTACACTGAATTTTTCTATTCAACTTATTTTTGCAAAAATTTATCCAAAGTTAAATCACTTTTTCTTCAACTCACTTTCAGTTAAAATCAATTTTACTGAATCAATTCACTCATGATCAATTTTTTTCACCGCAGAACCAAACACACTCGAAATCGTAAAAGTTTAACAAAAAATTAAGGTGCCTTACCGAACCTCCAGCTCTGAAGGTCTTCTCAACAGTGTTTCCTGAAAGATAATTCTTGAGTTTTGTCCTCACAAATGCCGCACCTTTTCCAGGTTTAACATGAAGAAACTCTAGAAAACCAATGCAAAACCCAATTTAACAAACACTTTAAATACAATCGTAATCACAAAAAACAAATGTTAATAGAAAAATAATACCTAACACACGCCAAGGTGAACCATCAACTTCAATATTGGTACCTACTTTAATATCATTACTAGATACCGCATAAATCTCTGGAACAAAAGTATAGATTAGTGAAATTGAAAAGGGTTAGTTAGAACTGAGGTTACTGAAAGATGAAACTTACTAAAGAAACGGGGATTGGAAGAAGGAGGGTTTCGAATTCGGAAGTTGGAAGGGGATGGAGAAGAGTGTTTGCGTAGAGATGAAGTAGAAGAGGAAAAATGGGAGAGATTGAGGTTCAAGGTAGCGGTTCCCGCCATCATTTTGTGCTGTGTTGTGTCTTTGTTTTGTCACGGCGAAAATATGGTTTTCTAGAGGATAAGAGAAGGTTTGGAATTCACATTCTAGATTCTTAGGTAGTTTTTTTGTTTATGCATTTTAACAAGTTTTTTTATTTTATTTTAATTATTGTATTATATAAGAGGTTTTTTCTTTTAGAAAAGAGGATTGAAGTGAAGAAAAGAAGAGAAATTTGATCAAGAATTCAATCGTAAAATATCAAATTAGAACCTAAATCATACCTTATGTTAGTCGGTGCACAAATGTAAGATTCATGGTGTAATGCGGTGGAAGAACTGACTTTGGTGTTTTGCGTTTGATCGTAATTGTTGCGGATAGCAAGAGTCGCCACTGACTTTTCTTTTATCCAATAAGGAAATGGTGAAAAGAACAGGAAAGGCTTTTAGAGATGTTTTCTTAAGTTTAGGGGTAGGTTATGAAAAGGGAAGGTATTAGCATCATTTTCATTTATAGTTATCTACGGGTTTTTAGTTACTTGCTAAATCACTTGCTTTGTTTGAAAATGTTTTTTTGTGATGGGTGTGAGTTTGAAAATAGTTGCAAAATTTCTTTGTTGCGGTGAACTTTGTAATGATTCTCGTCTCTATAAGAATGCATACAAAGTGTTGGTTTTTGAAAACAGTTCAAAGAGATATTTGTTTTTGAAGGTGTTTTTGAAAGTGTAAGTGTGAAAAATGGTTTTAGTTCAAGAGCAAGCAACTACGAGCGTCCTACCTACTCAAAAGGTCTAATGTTTTTTTCCTCCTCCTTTAGATGTTGCTATCTTACCATTGATTTGGTAAGAAGCCCCATTGTTGGATGTGAATGGATAGGTGTGGGTCATCGTATAGTCATAGAAGACAACCTATGAGATATTTTAGCAATTTCGTTAGGAACTAGATCGTTTACCGAAGGCAACATCGAGGGACATCAAAGGACTACGATCTTTTATCGTGGATCTTTGCTAAAACGCCCATATTCGAGGGGTATGACTATTTTCTGAGGCAACAAGTGAGATTACCCTATAGGTGCATGTGTGTGTAGTGTGTTTGATTGCATGCATTTAGTCTTGAATTTGGGTTGTCTACTTGTTGATTTTAACTTGCCATACACAACCTAGTTACTAACATTTATGAAAGCGATAAAAATGCAAAAAATAAATGTCCTACGCTATTACATATTTTGGGGGATGGGGTATACAAGTTTACAAATGGGGGTTGAAAAGCAATAAAAATCCTAATTATTACAACCATGTTGAATAGCAAGAAAATGTAAATATATAGACAATATAAGGACAAAAATAGTGTAAAAGAGAAAAAGCAAAGACATCCTGGATCGAAGGATGTGTCTTTCGATTCCCACACTTTTTCCTTCTTTTAGATTGGGCCTGCAACATGTGTGTATAGAAGCTTGCATCCTTCGATTCACACAGCCTTTCTTTTTGTTTGGGCCTGCGCATCAGTGGGTATCGAAGCACACCCTTCGATTCACACGCCTTTTTCTGTTTTCTTTCGTTTGGGACATGATAGCAGTATGGGTCGAAACCATGCTAATATGGCCTGTACAGGTTAGTCTCTAACATATATTTGGACAAGAAAAGCAAACAAACTAAAGGATAGGAATGAAAAAAATAAAGAAAAAGGTTATTTACATGCTTGAAATGAAAGGGTTAAAGTCAGAAAGACTTACCGTGAATATGAAGTTGGTGCTTTTGGACCTTGAGTGATTTCCCTGGATGCTTTTGGATTCGAAGGGAGAGAAATAAGTGTTGTGTTTCTTTGACTAAATTCGAAAGCCAAGAAAAGTAGAGTTGTGTTTCTTTGGTGATGGATACGAAGGAAAAGAAACAAGTGTTGTGTTTCTTTAGTTCTGGATTCGAAAGAACAGAAACAAAGGTGTGGTCTTTTGATTCTGGGTTTGAGAGTGTGTTAAGTGTTTTCTCTTTTCTTTGCCTTGTCAACAAATCTCTCTCCAGTCACTCAAAAGCCCCCCTTAGATGTGTTGTGGAACCTCTTATTTATAGATGAAGTTTGGATGAGGTTTGGGGGAAAAGCAAATGAAATTTGAACAAATTGGGTATGTTGTTTTTGTAGCTTTTGAGGTGCAGTTTTTGTATGCCAATTTAGTGCAAATATGGGAGCAGCATAGCAGAACTGCTTTGCAACACTTTTGGAGTGTTGTGGACAGTACAACATGCTTGGGCTTGGCAGTATATTGGACTATGATCAGCAAGAATCTTGAATAAAACTCATCAAAAGACAAAATAAAAACTTGTTTCCAACAATTGTGTCCTTCGAATGGACCACATGTGTGTTCTTCGAGTGGACCACATGTGAAGTGGTGAAAAACACAAGAAGGGGGGGTTGAATTGTAAAACTGAAATCTAAAGCAATGAACACGATATTTTTATCCTGGTTCGTTTGATCTCAAACTACTCCAGTCCACCCGTCAAGGTGATTTCGCCTCTCTCCAACGAGGTCTTAATCCACTATATTCAACTGAATATTACAGACTGCTTTAACAACTGCTAAAGCCTTCTTGATTCAAACCACAACCCGGTTTGTCAAGGTAACACTTTCTTACAAAGAGATAAAACTATGTGTGTGGATGTTTTCTACAAAACTGTATCACAACTGTGATGTATACACAAATTGAAGCTTAGAAACTAGATTGCTAAACAGTAATGGAATATCAGAGTGTGTGGTTTAGCAAAACTGGTAGAACGAAGATTATGGTTCAGCTTTTGTGCGTGTAGAGGTTTGGAGAGCATTAACCATTTCAATCTTCAAAGCCTTGTTTATATAGCATTGAGATGATGAACGTTGGATGCAATATTCTTGATTCAATGCTAATAACAAACTTTCCTTATTGAGCAGATCTTGTCTGGAATGAAGCCGTTGGAATTAATTTGCTTTCAATGCACAGTACCGTTGCTTACTTAATGCAAGTTCTGGCTTGGCTCATTCTGATTCTGCTTCGCTGCTGATGAACTATTGTGTTTCTGTATCAGAGTATTAAGCGCAGTCTTGTTCATCAGGCTTCAGCATGTACGTGAGTTGATCATCTGATTTTGACGTTCTGATGTAGCAACTTCTGATGCTGGTGTCTGAAATCAAGTTCTGATGCTGAATAGATGTGATCTTGCTTATTTCAATCAGCATATCTGCAAGTCAGAACATAATAATTTTAGGCAGCAGATAGTTCATTCATGACACATATAAATACTATATCTTTTCACTTTGTTATCATCAAAACTTAAATATAGGGTAGTAGATTCAAACATTGTTCTAACAATCTCCCCCTTTTTTATGATGACAAAAACTAGATATTTTAAATGAAAATAACGTGAAAAGGTATCTGGAATATGTATCAGAATAAGAGGTAAAAGAATAAGGAGTAAGGAAATACTCCCCCTGAGTTTATTACTTCCCTTTGATTATACGCGTTCTTCAGGATCAGATCTTTTTGCCTTTCTTTGAACATCAGAGTATCAGAGTCTTTGACTTATCAGAAGCTTTATGTCAGAGCAGAGCTTCAGAGCTTTTCTTGTCAGAGCTTTGCTTTGGATCAGAACTTCATATTGATCAGAGCAACTTCATATTGATCAGAGCTTCTAGTCTTCAGAGTGTCCAGGAGCTTCCTTGTGCCTGTAGACTTTAAACACAACAGAAAAAACATTTCAAGTAATAGAGTTAGAATGTTTGAGAATTTCTGCCTAGTTAGCCCGTTATTGATTTAAATATCATTCTTGTTCTCCCCCTTTTTGTCAGCAATCAAAAAGTGTTGGTGATGTGCTAAAACAATTAAGATCAGAAAAACTAATCATATTAAAATAGTTCAGAGTCAAAACGAGAAAATATTACAGAGCATAATCAAACAGTACATCAGAAAATCAGGAAAACATGAAAAAGTTTATGCATGAAAGAAAAAGATTTAAGGTTGAGGAGGCAAGCGTGTGAACAGGCTCTCCAGCATCGCTTGAATCTTTTCAGAAGTTTCATTTTGCTTATGCACCATGCTGACAACAGTGTCAATCTTGCTGTCCTGCACATCCATTCTCTCTTTCATCTTCTGATCGTTTTCATCCATCCGCTGCTGTAGACGCATGTCATTCAGCCTTAGTTCTTCCAGAGTCTGCCTGTCCAAGGCAGCTTGAGAAGCATCAGAAGGAGGAGGCTTCTCAGAACTTTCAGCAACATCCTCTGTTTGACTTTCAGCCTGAATGGTCTTGTCTTCTTCTGATGGTTGCACCTTTGCAGCTTGCTGTTTCTCAGACCAGGGTTCACTGTCCAGAGGGAGCACGTCCTCTGTCAGAAGCATACTTCCAACTTCATTCAGAAGTTTGCTGAAATTTTGTTGTGCCTGCTCATAGTTGATATCCTGCAACTTGAGGGCTTCAGCACGTACCCAAAGTCTGAACTGTGACCAGAGCTGATCAGAAGCAGTTGGGTCAATCATCCCAGGACAGACTTGCTTCAAAGAAGCAATCCATTGCAGCACACCTGTTTCAAAATTCAAAATACCAGAGCCAACATCTGGTTGCTTTGGTTTTGGGATGGCAATTTTGTGTTTTAGATCAGCAAGACGGTCAAGACTGGTTAAGTCAATGAAAGTCCTGCTGGGGTTTTCAGAGGTTTTCTGAGAGACTGTTTGTTTTGGAGAAGGGGTATTAGAGTCAGATATTTCGATTGGAGTGGGTGGTGTTTTGGGAGTTTTTGGTGGTGTCGATTCTGATGAGGATGGTAACCGGGGCATGACAACAGTGGTTCCACATGGCAACTGGATTGCCAGCGGTGATGGTTGAGTTGAGTGAGGGTCAGATTGATGAGGAGAAGGAGTTTCAGAGTGGTGAAACTCTGTTTGTGGTGAAGGTGCATTAATTTCTGGTTGGGGAGAGGGAGTTGGAATCTCTGATTGCTCAGGGATCAGAGGTTCTTCTGAGAGTGGTTGTTGTTGTGGTTCTGGTTCTGGTTGTTGTTGTTGT